CAGTAGAACGAAATAAACAAGTTTACCTGAAGTGTAACAGCACCCTCTCAGAGCACGCACAGTAGAGCAATATAAGCCACACGTGCCTACCGATGTTGCACAGAACATGTTAATCAGAAGCTGATGCAACATTGCATCACAGCAGAGTATATAAGCCGAGGACATCAGACCGCAGATCATGCATCCTGAGGGCAAGTTACTTTGAGATGTCCTGCACGGTCTTCCGCAAGAGAAAGAGCTCCACCTTGATTTCGTCCCTCTGACTTTGCCTTGCAAGACATCAACTGCCTGGCTGCCTCCTGAACTCAGACCTGATCTGGACTCTTGGGACTCAGGTTTGTTGTTTCCCTCATGTGAATTCTCTTCGTGTGGTATGTAACTGATTGTTTCTGAGTGTTACTGCTATTGATTGATTATTATGGGTTGAAATTGAACCTGCATCAATAAAAGCTGAATGAATTGCAGTCATCTGTGTTGACTTCCTGTTTTTCCTTGGTACCAGAATTACCTGTAGGGCTGGTGGCCTTATAGGTGGCCCAGGGCTTTCGGCTCTGAAGGCCGAGGTCAGATGACCTGAGTGGGGCTCAAGGGCTGAGTTATAGGAAAAAATATACCGCAAAACATTCGCCCGTGACACAGGTATAAATGATATCCTATGACATTTGCCTTTTCGGATTTATTTCACTTCGCATGGTTCAAAATGATGGGGCACTCAAGGGTTGGAAAATTTTCGTTTTAAGTAAAAGCTGATAAGCTTAGCAATGAACGCATGTAAAAAGCTGTTGTTTCAGGAGCTGAAGATAAGAACCACCTGGAGTCGGGGAGACAGGAGCCATTCGACCTCTGTGCCCCAGGGGGCTGCAAGCAATCCAGATGTTTCTGAGCCACTGTGCTCCAGGGAGAGGCATCCTCCTGCACAGGACATAGATAAAGAACCAGCTGTCAACAGAGGAAAGGATGCTACAGAGAGTGCTGAACTGCAGCTTTTATCGCATTAACCTTTTCCGTTGATCCCAAACCTTTTCTCTATATCCCCGCTCCTCTCCCACGAATTTCAAAACCGTTCCTTACACTTTATTTTCACCTCATGAAAAAGGCTGGCTTAAACGGAAATGTAAGACAGTCTTTTAGGGTACATAAGCCGCAGTCTTCTCAGATCGCTTGCCCTCTCAATAAAGCGCCCATGAAGTTTCAAACGCAGTCTCTACTTGGTGTTATCGGTGACAGGAAACAGGAATGCCAACTTTTCCGGTTTCAATGCCAGCATTCTTCAACCTGAAAAAGATACTTTGGAGGCAAAGCGCTTTGAAGTTCAGGCCTCTCCCCAAGCAGGTCCACAAGATGCCACTCATTCACTTTCTGTCAGTGCCCGTGCCTGGGCTCTTGTCAGGCCTGGCCTCCTGTGCCTAAGTGGCGTGTTCAGACTCTGCTCCCAGAACGCCCCCTTTTCCCTCCCAGCGCCATTCTGGATAGCTAAGGAAGGTGAGTGCCCAAGGAAGAGGAAGGTCACTGTGCTTGGCAAAGGCCTTATCCAAAACGTAATCATCGGAGGTCGCCAAAATACTAACTTTGAAAAGAAATGTTACAGATGCTAGGAATAATTACGTGGATAAATGAAAAACAATGAACAAGGAAGGCAATAACCAAGGAGAAGTAGCTGGAAAGGAGCGCAGTCAACACCGCTGCGGCCGTCCCTCCCCGACTGCCCCCATCTCTGCCCAAGCCTGGCCTTTTTCAAGGCGCCCCCTTCCGCTTCCTTCCTTTCTCCCGCCCTGGCGCTCACCGCACAGGCACTGAGCAAAAGCTCCGACTCCTCCCATCGCCTGAGGCGAGGAGCATGCGCGGTTCCTTCCAGACGCTGATGTGAGTTTGGAGTAGGAAAGGTCCTGTTTCCTGCCCAGTTTTGGTGTTTCCGATTGATACCTGATTTCCTTTCTCTGTGTTTTTAAATATATACTGTATTGATTATGCTATTACAGTTGTCCCATGTTTTTTTCTCCCCGTTATCCCCCTCCACCCCGCACCGCACCTTCCTCCAGTATTCCCCGCCCCCTTAGTTCATGTCCATGGGCCTTACGTGTAAGTTCTTTGGCTTCTCCATTTCCTATACAATTCTTAACCTCCCCCTCCTATCTTGTACCTACTATTTATGCTGCTTATTCCCTGTGCCTTTTCCCCCTTTCTTCCCCCTCACCCTCCCCTCTTGTCTCCATTTCTGTGAGCCTGTTCCTGTTCTAGTTGTTTGCTTAGTTTTTGTTTTTTAGGTCCAGTTGTTGATAGGCGTGAGTTTGTTGTCATTTTACTGTTCATAGTTTTTGATCTTCTTGTCTTTCTCAGATAAGTCCCTTTAAGGTTTCATACGATAAGGGCTTGGTGATGATGAAATTCTTCAACTGTACCTTCTCTGGGAAGCACTTTATCTGCCCTTCTATTCTAAATGATACCTTGCTGGATAGAGTAATAATCTGGATGGAGGTCCTTGCATTTCATGACTTTGAAGGCTTCTTTCCAGCTCCTTCTTGCCTGTGAGGTTTCTTGTGAGAACTCAGCTGATGGTCTTACGGGAACTCCTTTCTAGGTAACTGTCTCCTTTCCACTTGCTGCTTTGAAGCTTCTCTCTGTATCTTTGATCTTGGGTAACTTAATTATGATGTGCCTTGGTGTGTGCTTCCTTGGGGCCAACTTCTTTGGGACTCTCTGAGCTTCCTGGATCTCCTGGAAGTCTATTTCCTTGGCCAGACTGGGGAAGTTTTCCTTCATTATCTTTTCAAATAAGTTTTCCATTTCTTGCTCTTCCTCTTCCCTTTCCGGCACCCCTGTGATTTGGAAGTTGGAACGTTTAAAGTTGTGCCAGAGGGTCCTACGCCTCTCCTCATGTTGTGGAATTCTTGTTTCTTCATTCTGTTCTGGTGGAATGTTTCTCTCTTCCTTCTGCTCCAAATCGTTGTTTTGAGTCCTGGTCTCCTTCCCTTTACTCTTGGTTCCCTGTATATTTTTCTTTACTTCACTTTGCGTAGCCTTCACTTTTTCCTCCGTTTTGGGACCGTACTCAACCAATTCAGTAAGCATCCAGAGAACCAGTGTTTTGAACTGTGCATCCGATAGGTTGGTTATCTGTTCATCACTTAGTTTTATTTTTGGAGCTTTGATCTGTTCTTTTATTTGGACCATATTTCTTGGTCTCAGCCCAGCTGTTATGTTGGGAAGGGCAGAGCCTTGGGTATTTGCCCGGGCGGGGCAACCCAGCCCTGTGCTGCCTTGTGATGCTGTCTGCGGGGGAGGGGTCTGAGAGGGCACAATGGCACTTGCTCGGCTCTAGTTTGGCTTTCAATCACTTCCACTGCTACCCAGAAGCAAATTGGGCCCCTGGAGTGCTGATTCCCACATGGGCGGGTTTATGTACGTTCTAGGACTCGGTTGGTCTCTCCAACAGAGTCTCCTCTGAGGCTGGGAGTTTCTCCTGCTACCTCAACCCCCACAGGTTTTACCTCCAGAGGTTTTGAGGCTTTCTTTTCCCACACTCAAAACCTTGTGCATGGCCTGTCCCCCTCCCAGCTGTTCCTCATGGTTTATCCCCACGCAATGTGGGAACGCCCACTCCTCCAGCGGGGCCTTGTTGCGCATCCTCTCCGCCCCTGCTGCTCATCTCTGCCCCTCCTCCCAGTCCGGATGAATGTTTCTTCTTTGGCTCTTGGTTGTCAGACTTCCATACAGTGTAATTTTCTGACAGTTCTAGGTTGTTTTTTTTTTTTTTAATCTGTTACTGTCCGTGTTTTGGTTGTGCCAGGAGGCAAAGTGTATCTACCCACACCTCCATCTTGGCCAGAAGTCTCAAAACCTGATTTTCCCAGTCCTTGTGCTTATGCAGGTGAAGCCTGCAGGTCACTCAAGGCTGTGAAATCTCCAATAGGAGGCTCATACAGAGGTGATTACCGCATTCCAGTGAGACAGTGCTAAGTCGTCGCTCTGCGTTCCTTTCAGGGGAAACTCGGAGACTGTCCCACCGGCAGTCTCTCTGTCTTCATGCTATTGGACACCGCCTGCTACGTGGTTTTATTGTTGAATGCCTTTTCTTGCATATCCCTCCTACTCCACGTCTTCAAAGTCTCAGGAGAGGGAGTGACAACCTTCCCTTTGCTGCCCCCTCGCTTCGCCACTCTTGGCTTCTGGCGTCGGGGGATCTGCACACACCCCTGCTCTCCAGCTTTTAAGAAGATGTCAGAATTTCACGAAGAGCACACATTCTAGCGGGTGGGGCTTAGGAGATGAGTACACCTTGCTCCAGGAGAGGTGACCTGCCCCTCTCAGAAGGGGCTTTGTGGAAGCACCGAGGGCGAAGGGGCATACGCGAAAGCAGCGGGACTAGGCTGAGGGGGGACCCGGAGCTGGCATGAGAGATGGACGCATGAGTGAGCGAAAAGGTCGGTGAGGAGACTTAAGAGACAGCAACGTACGGGAGGGGTGGTAAGAGGGACATGACCTTGGAGAAGGAATGAATACGTCTGTCACCAAATGATCCTTTCTGGGGGAATATTAAAAGCATGGGTCTTTTTTTCCCCCGTCCAATGAATTTACTTCAGGCCAGCACTCATTCCACTGAGCTACATCAGCCAGGGCTACAATAGTTTATATTCTAAGTAATTATACATATCCAGACATCCATTCCCTTGACATTTTGAAGCACACTAAAAGTTACGATCCATAGTTTTAAATTTTGGATGATTCTCTACTGCAGGTATTCTAATTAGAGCAATACCTGAAAAGTATTATTAATTTCTATTGTGAATTAACTGATATTTTGAAACTCTTTCAATTACATACTTTCCTAAATATTTTACATTTCAAAGCCGCTTTCAGACATAAATTCTTTGGGTTTTGTGAACGCTGTATTATGGACAAAAGACTATTCTTTACTAAGAACACAGAAGTCAACCCAAGTTGCACATTCCCTAATAAACAATATGATTGTGGGTCCAGCTATACTCCTTCCTATAATCTTATTTCTTAAGGTTTTTCACTGGTATGAATTCTCACATGTCAAACGTGTGAATGCTGAAAAAACAGGTTCAACATTCATTAGTATTGTTTTTCCTTGGAAAAAATTTTCATGTTGAGTAAGGTGTGTGAATGGGTAGTTTTGACACATTTTTTTTATTTGCTAGGCTGTCTCCAGTATGAATTACCCGATATTGGGAGAGATGTGAATTAAGATTAAACACTTTACCAATCCATTAACATTTTGAAGGTTTCTCATCCACTATATATTCCTTGATGTTGAATGAGGTTTGAAAATGGCTACAGTTTTTGTTGAAGTTTTAAAATTTTTCTGATCTCCAGCATGAATTCTTCAATGTTAAGTTTTCAGCACAGATTGAAAGCTATGCCACATTCTCTACATTTGCATGGTTTATTCAAAAGTTAATTATTTCATATTGGATAAGACATCATTGAAAATTTAAAGATCTGGCACATATATTTATATTGTTTCTCTACAGTATGAATGACAAGATGTGGAGTAGTTCTGAAGAATGATTAAAGGTTTTATTGCATACTCCACATTTATGAGACTTTTCTCAAGTATGATTACTCTGATGAACAGGAAGGGCTGAGGACTGCTTAGACTTTACTGTCTTTCCTACATTTACATGACTCCTCTCTGATATGAATTCTCTAAGGTTTAATAAGGGTTGAGGAGTGGATAAAGGCTTTACCACATTTGTTACATGTGTAAGGCTTTTTCACTAGCATGAATTCTCTGATGCTGAGGAAGGGTTGATGACTCCATAAAGCCTTTCCCACAATCAGTGCATTTATGAGACTTATCTCCATTATGAATTTTTGATGAATAGTGAGCTCTGAGGACTGCCAAAAGATTTTACCTCATTCATTACATTTATAAGGCCTCTCTCCAATATGGATTTTCTGATGTTTAGTAAAGGATGAGGAATACCGAAAGACTTTCCCACATTCTCTACATGTATAAGGTTTTTCACCAGTATGAATTCTTTGATGTTGAGTAAGATTGGAGGACAACCTAAAGGCTTTGCCACATTCTGTGCATTTATAAGACTTTTCTCCATTATGAATTTTCTGATGATTAGTAAGACTTGAGGACTGGCTAAAGGCTTTACCACATTCTCTACATATGTAAGGCTGCTCTCCAGTATGAATTCGCAGATGTCGATTAAGGGTTGAGGAACTTCTAAAGGCTTTGCCACATTCTGTACATTTATAAGGCTTCTCTCCAGTGTGAATTCTCTGATGTTGATTAATTTGTGAGGACCGGCTAAAGGCTTTGCCACATTCTCTACATTTATAAGGCTTCTCTCCGGTATGAATGTTCTGATGTTGAATAAGGGTTGAGTAGCGCCTAAACGCTTTACCACATTCTCTACATATATAAGGCTGCTCTCCAGTATGAATTCGCTGATGTTGATTAAGGGTTGAGGGACGCCTAAAGGCTTTGCCACATTCTCTACATTTATAAGGCTTCTCTCCAGTGTGAATTTTCAGATGTAGAGTAAGGTTTGAGGATTGGATAAAGGCTTTGCCACATTCTCTACATTTATAAGGCTTCTCTCCAGTATGAATTTTTAGATGTAGAATAAGGTTTGAGGATTGGATAAAGGCCTTACCACATTCTCTACATTTATAAGGCTTCTCTCCAGAATGAATTTTCTGATGTTGAGAGAGGTTTGAAGAATGGCAAAAGGCTTTACCACATTCTCTACACTTATAAGGCTTCTCTCCAGTATGAATGTTCTGATGCTGAGTAAGGGTTGAGGAGCGGCTAAATGCTTTACCACATTCTCTGCATTTATAAGGCTTCTCTCCAGAATGAATTTTCTGATGTTGAGTAAAGGATGAAGAGTGGCTAAAGGCTTTACCACATTCTCTACACTTATATGGCTTCTCTCCAGTGTGAATTTTCAGATGTAGAGTAAGGTTTGAGGAATGGATGAAGGCTTTACCACATTCTCTGCATTTATAAGGCTTCTCTCCAGAATGAATTTTCTGATGTTGAGTAAGGTTTGAAGAGTGGCAAAAGGCTTTACCACATTCTCCACATATATAAGGCTTCTCTCCGGTATGAATGTTCTGATGTTGTATAAGGGTTGAGGAGCGGCTAAATGCTTTACCACATTCTCTACATTTATAAGACTTCTTTCCAGTATGCATTTTCTGATGTAGAGTACGACTTGAAGGCCAATTACATGTTTTACCACGTTGTTCCCATTTATGTTTTTCTCCTGTGGAGATTTTAACTCTATTTATATTAAATACTTTACTGAATACTTTCTCACACGGTAAAGATTTGTAAACTTCCTTCCCAATAGGAATATTCTGGTGGTTGGTACTATTTGAAGATTGCTTAAAGATTCTGACATAATTGCTTCGTTCGTTTGTTGTGTCCACAATAGGAATACGCTGATGTGTAATATGATTTGACATTTGGTCAAAGACGTATCCACCTTCATCGTAGTTTTCTGGAAGACGAGCATTCTCATGTTTATTAGGATTTGACTTGTTGTTAAAAATTTTCCAATCTTCACTGCACCGACAACTTCTGTCTTCATTGTATGTACTCTGGTAATCGTTGAAGATAAAAGAGGCCTTTAGTGACACGTATAATTTCTTTAATCATGGACACTTTTCCCACAATAACTATTCTGTGATCCCTATTAAACCATGCCGGTTATATTAGAAATCAGTCCCACGTTCAAGAAAATGTTATATTGGTAGAAAAGAAAAACGTTATTTCTCAATTAAATATAGTAATTCCTTGATAAAGGGATGGATAAATTGACCACATTTAAATTTTACATGTGCATTAGAATTTACTAAGTTTTACAAGTTTTTGACTGAAAGTTTAATCACACCCTCCATTTTAGACAATTCAAATGATCATTCCCACCATGAATTATGAGAGTTACTAGACTTTCCAGGCTGCCTTCGGAGGAATAGGTACACTTAGAAAACCGTTTTCGGTCTTCACGTTGGGAAACACATCAATCTGCAAATGTAACTGACTAAAAGTGGGAGTTTTCCCAAACGTGTTCTATTTTCACCTCTTTAGGTAAAAAGGACTTTATTATGAATAATTCTCCCAAGCAAGTTCTGTACATTCTAACATCCTTTTTTCTTGTCACATACTTTCTTATCAGGCTTTCAATACATTATCAAGGGCACAAAATTCATATCTTACCAGTAGTACTTTAGAGAATAAATCTTCTATTCCTGGCTTTTGCAACAAGCCCTGATAGTCTTCAGATGACATAGCTGAAATATACAAAATAAAGGATCACAGGTATGACACTCAGGTAAGTGTACACTGCAATTAGAATCAATTATTGAATAAATTGCCACTTTGAGTCCTTCAAAAAAAGTTAAATGTTCAATGCAAGACCAAGAAGGGTACAATGAGAAACAAATCCTATCAAAAAGGAAGAAACAGTTGCTTACATTTGTAAATAATAATGCCCCAAAACGCTAAAGATTTTCTCACCTTTAGACTGATGCTATAAAAATGATTTTGAAAATTTTTCTGAATGAAGTAAGTAAAATTGTAAACAATATTAAACCTTATAAATATAAAATTTTTGTACCTATATAGATATTTACACAAATATAAAAATTAGTAATGGTCTAATGATCAAACACAAGTCTCTTTGATATTTCCTAAACAACTTTCAATGATACAAGCCATAAAATCTTACATCTATGTTATAAGATACACAACATAAAAGATTTACTTTGACACCAATAACATAAGAAGGTAGGGGGTAGAAATGGCAAGCAGTGGAGAGTTTTGTATGCAAGTGATACTATCAGTTTGAAATGTATTCTCATAGCTTTAAAGTGTTCTCATTATCCCCACCTGGTAACAACGAAAATAAAAATAAAATAAGAAAATGATCTCGTTTAACAAATGACAAAATTGTGTACTGAAAAAATCATACTGAATCCATGTTAAAAAAATGACAGACATTAATACAATTTTTCAAAATGCAAAATATAAAACCGGGCCATGAAGTTAGGGTTGTTTTTTTAAATTGTATTTGTTTATTTTTTAGAGAGAGGGGAAGGGAGGCAGAAGGAGAGGGGAGAATGATCAATGTGTGGTTGCTTGTCACATGCCCCCTACTGGGGACCTTCCCTGCAACCCAGGCATGTGCTATCACTGGGAATCGAATCGGTGACCCTTTGGTTCGTGGGCCATCACTCAATGCACTGAGCCATACCACCCAGGGCAAAATTAGTTGTTTTTATACAGTAACAGAAGCTAACACACAAAAAAGGAAGTTCAGAATGTAAGTCCATAATCAATGGTGTAAAGCAGAATGAAATATTTATGATTTATCTTCATGAAAAACATGCACGACTTTTATGATGAAAGTGTACAATATTGCTGGTCAGAATTTAAAAAAAAAATCAATAAATGAAAAATTCACAGGCTTCTTGAAAATCAGCCACCATCATGAACAACACAGTAATTATCTGGAGCAGGATATTCATGACCAATAGACATCTTCACCAGAAACAAATGGTCATTAACATCCTTCCCCATGGTAAGTCAATAGCATGCAACCAAGAAATTTAAGAAAAACATGCCAAAATGTATAAGGCCACACCAGATGTCACCTTTGTGTTTGGATTCAGAACCCATTTTGGTGGTGGCACGACAACTGGCTTTGTCATGATTTATGATTCCATAAATCTTACCAAAAAAAATAACCCAAACATAAGACTTGCATGACATGGGTCATATAAAAAGACCTCAGGAAAACAGAGACGGGAAAGCAAAAGTGCAATAAACAATGTCGGGCAGCCTTCAAGGCCAGTGTTGATGATGGCAAAAAGAAGCAGTGAAGAAGCTTCTAGGATTTTGTTGGTGGTGATTATGCAGATTTTTCGTGATAGGATCAATAAACTAATAACTCTAAAAGATTTATCCCATGATCCTAAATTAGAATGCTAGTAGTATAAGGCCTCAGTTGTAACCAACGTGATCTAAACATTCCAAGAGTTCCCTATCAGCCCTGGCTGGGATGGCTCAGTGGACTGAGAGCTGGCCTGCAAACCTGAAGTTTGCCAGTTCCATTCCCAATCGGGAAGCGTGCCTGAGTCTAGGGTTCAGCCCAGGTTGGGGCACATTTGAGAGGCTACCGCTGATGTTTCTTTCTCAAGTCAGTGTTTTTCCATCTCTCTCTCTCCTTCCCTTCCCCTCTCTCTAAAACTAAAGAAATAAAATGTTTACAAAAATTAAAGTAATATACACAAGGCACCAGGTAAGACCTGAAACCATGTAAACACTAGAAGGAAGGATAGCTATAAACTCTGCCATGGCTCTTACAAGTATTTTTTGGATATAACTTCGTAGGCATAGGAAACTAGAGAAAAAAAATAAACAAATGAGACTACAACAAAGTAAGTCTTTGCACAGCAAAGGAAACCATCAAGAAAACACACAGCCCTAGCTGGTGTGTCTCAGTGGATTGAGCTCAGCCAGTGAACCAAAAGATTGCTGGTTTCATCCTCATACATGGCACATGCCTGGGCCATGGGGCATGTCCTTGGTTGGGGGCGTGCAAGAGACAACCAACTGATATATCTCAACTGATATATCTCTCACACATCGATGTTCCTGTCCCTCTCTCCCTCCTTTCCCCTGTCTCTGAAGAGAAATAAAAATATTTTTTAAAAAGCAAACAAAAAAATCTACCTACTGAACAGGATACGGTATCCACCAACGATGGTAAATATCCAAAATATATAAGGAACTTACATAACTTAACACCAAAATGAACCCCAAACAAACAATCTGATTGAAGAATGGGCAGTGGACCTGAATAGATATTTCTCTTAACAGGACATAAAGATGGCCAATAGACATATGAAAAGATTATTGAATGTAAAACAAAAATAATTTTATACACCACACATTTTTTCAAGTGAAATTCTTGACCAACTTGGTTTTTTAATCCATAGTATTAAGATTTAAATGTCCATGTCTCAAATCAAACAATAAGGAAACAAACCAACAAAAGTGATCCTCATCAAGATTAATTAAAAAAAAGCCACAAGCTGAGAAAATATATTCGTAAAAAAACAACAGGTACAGGACTATTACGCAAAAGATACAAAGATGTTTTCAAACTCAACAGTGACAAAAAACATACTTGACACAAAAGGGACAAACGCCTTAACAGAAAGCATACTAAAAAAGATATACATTAAAAATTACTTCCTAAAAAGGACCCACACACCTTATATCACTTAGCAAATGCACATGAAAACAATGAACATTAAACAAACAGCACATTCAAACAACATTAAACCCCTATTGGAAAGGTCAGGATCCAGAACACTGAGAGCAGCAAATGCTGCTGTCGGTGTGGAGCAAGAAGAATGTTCATTCATTTCTGTTGAAAATGCAAAATGCTACAGCCCCTTTGGAAGAAACTTTCAGGGTTGTCACAAAACTAAAGGAAGTGATTTTGATGGATAGGGGCAAAGAGAAAAAAATTGGGACAACTGTAATAGCATAAATAAAATATTTTTTTAAAAAACCTAAACATACACTTATTAAATAATCCAGTAATTGTGATCCTTAGTATTTAACCAAAAAGCTAAAAAGCCTACACAAAAGCCTAAAAGGGACTATTTATAAAAGCTTCACTTATAATTTCCAAAAACTGGAAGCAATGAAGGTATCAACAGGTTAATAGATAAGTAAACCAAAACACATACAATGAAATATTTTTCAGCGCTACACAGATATAATACATCAAACCATAAGAAGTGGAAGAAACCTAGATAGCATGAAGAGAAACAATTTAATCTGCCTGACTAGGTGCTAGACTATCACCCAGATACGCCAAGGTTGCAGGTTACATCTGTAGCAGGGCACATACAAGATTCAACCAATGAATGCATAAATAAATGAAACAACAAATCAATCTCCCTTTCTCTCACTTCCCTCAACTTCCCTGCTACCTCCGCCCATCCTGTCTCTAAAAGCTCAATAAATGAAATTAAAAATACAAGAATCCAATCACAAAAGGCTACAAACTATAGGATAACAACTACATGACATTCTAGAAAAAACAAAATGAAAGAAACAGGAAAGCCGTCAATGGTTCCAAGAATAAGGGGGACATAGGGATAAATAGGCAGAGCACAGAGAACAACACTTAGGGCTGAGAAACAAGTCTGTATGACAGTATAATGGGGATATGTGTCATCATAAATTGTCCAAACCCATAGAACATACAAGCCATCAGTGAAGCCTCATGTCAACTAACACTTTGGGTGATAAAGATGGGCCAGTGTGGGTTCATAAACATCACAAATGTACCACTCTGGTGGGGGACATAGACAAGGAGTAGGGTATGCATGTAGAAAGCAGGAGGGGTCTGCAAATTCTCATTGACTCTCACACAATTTTGCTGTGAACCTAAAACTGCCCTTTGAAAAAGTCTTTCACAGTTGTCTTCTCTAAAGTACCTGTACTCAGGTCTATACATCTTTTCTATGGTGTTTACGTACATCCAAGAAACAAATGTTTGCATTCTCCACTGAAACACACACATACAATATATCACTTTACAATAGTTAAGATGACCAGTGTCAAAAGAATAATATTGAGTGTTTCCAAAAATGAGGAGAGAGTAGACCTTATTCACAGTTGAATGAAAGTTAAATTGGTGCAAATTGTAAGAATAGGAAAAAGGGTTCTGTCAAAGAATTAAATGTAGAATTGTTTTGTCATTCTGCCCTTCATTTCCGGGTATTTATCAAAAAGAATTCAAAAGAGGATATGCAAGAGACATGTGCACACCTGTGTCAACTCTAGTATTGTTCACGAAAGCCTGTACAAGTGAAAGCAAGCCCATGTCTGTGGATAAATAGATTAAAAATATGGTACATAACAACAATGGAATACCGTTTTGCAGGAAATAGGAAAAAAAGTCTTATCACCTGGTATCACAAACAGGGAGGACATTTTCCTTAAGTGAAGGACCCGAGTAACAAAAAGACAAACATTACACAATCCCACTTAGGTGAATAATCTCATGAAGTCCACCTCATAGGGAAAAAAAGAAAAGGTAGTTTTCTGGACCTTGGTTTCTACACCAGAGAGCCTCCAATTCCTCCTTAGAGACCAAGAATCTGAGAGGCTACCATACAAAGCAGAAGCTCCCAAAAGATGTTAAACTGATACAGAAAATGAAACCCTGTGGGTGGAGTAGGAGCTCTGAAAGGAACTCATACTCACCCAGGGAGACCAAGTTCCTGTAGTTCTCCAACATCACATCTGTGTATAATTTCCACTGAGCTGGGTCCAGGCACTCCAACTCCTCCTGAGAGAAATCTACAGCCACATCTCTGAAGGTCAACGATCCCTGATAAAAAGGACACTTTTACATTGGAGCCATAGGCCTACTTCATACTGTCATCCAACATGAAAACAGTGTTAGGAAAAGTAGTTTTGATCTAGGAGAGTATCCTGAATTAGCTCATAAAATCACACTGACCCAGTAACATTCTCTAATTTCTAACACTGAGAAATGAGGATGACACATGTCCACAAATTCACTGCAGACACTTTTCATGAAAATAAACTTTAAAATCAAAGGATATACACAGGTATATGGATTGTTGAGTGTTGATTTTTATCTTCACGATCAATTGTGCATATGTCTCAGCTGGAAAAGGCATGGCAAGGTGAAAGTGTAGGTACTACTTCAGATTTAATTTAAACAACAAAGACCTGTAGATCTGTAAAAATGCAGATTCTGATTCAGATTCTGGGATGGGGGCTATGGTTTCATATCTTTAATAAGCTGACTTTTGACTAGTGGCAGCAATGTCTCTGGTCATGTGCCATACTTCTGAATAGCAAAAAAAGGAAAACATAAAATATTTCATACATAACATTGAGCCAAAAGACTTTTAATATGCACACTTCTAAAAAAATAAGAAACACAGCAGCCACAACTTTATTTGAAAATTTTATATACGTAATCTTAGAACAAGATTATCCTTCCTGTATCTTCAGAATATTTCCTGAAACAAAGGGCAGAGCTTGACTTTTACTCAAATTTGATCTGTTTTTCAAAACCACAGGCGAATACACATGAATGTTCACTGCAGTTTCTATAAGTGAGAAGAATGAAAATATCTTAAGAGTATGACTGAATAACTCAAGTGTTAACGTTTTATGCAGAGACATACATATGGGAACTAGTTACATATGAAATATGATAAAAAATGGAATTTTCATGTCAATGATATTATTTTTCAATTCTGTAAATCTCATAAACCTACTATTACTTGTCGATGATACCCTTTGGTTTTATAAGCACGACAGGTTCAAGAACACACATAATGCTAAAAAAGAAGTTAAAGCTAGTGATAGTTCTTTTGTTTCTCTTAATATTCTGGGTATCATTAGTGTAGAGCTCTTCGTTAGAAATTTAACTGAACTGAACCAAGATTAATATGATTCCTGTAAACTCTCTTGAGAATAGGGAAAGTGATAATGTAGAGTTAGTCTGTGACGTGTGGAATGTAATGGAACCTTACAGAAAGAAGGATTAATTAAATCCTCCGCATCAGAGGCTAATAATCTCTAGGAAATGAAGGAAGGGCCTTTATTTTCCAAAGCAAACAGAAGCTAAGAAAATGAGGGGAGTTTCCAGAGTACATGTGATTGCTCAAATAAATAAAATAAATGTTCCTCTCAAATAAATTGAGAGGTTTGGGCACACCTCTCAATAATTCCCTGCCAGACCCTTCTTAGTGATGAAGGGAAGCTCTTAACTACATTGTGAAGAGCACCTTAGCCAGCTGACTATCAGGTGGACTGGAAGAATGGGTATCAGGTGAATGAGGCACACGGAAGGACATGTCACTGCTGTGACATTACGGGCAAGAAAACATACTTAAAGAAGTCATTATGTGAAAATGATCATCAATGAACAAATTTTTTTGCAAATATCAATGCATATGTACCTTCCATGTTTTCCACACAAACACCGTGGTGCATTAAATACAAAGAATTTTGCCCTGGCTGGTGTGGCTCGGTGAACTGAGCACCAGCTGGCGAACTGAAAGCTCATCGGTTTGATTCCCAGTCAGGGCACATGCCTAGGTTGAGGGCGAGGTCCCCAGTTGGGGGCGTGTGAGACACAACTCTTCGATGTATCTCTATCTCTCACACATCGATGTTTATCTCCCTCTCTTTCTCCCTCCCTTCTCCTCTCTCTAAAAGTAAATAAAATTTCAAATACAAAGAGGTTTGTACTAATGTTATAAGCAGATCGGTTCTATCTACTCTTCTTTGTCAGAACTTTCTGAGCTATCCTGACCAGTGACATGTTCATTTTCTTACCCCAGGTCCACGAAGCTGATGCTGCAGCCACATGAACCCAAAACCTGTATTTCCCTTCTTTTCCAGTACCAGAGCCTATGAGCCCATCCCAACAGAGACGTAGACATCGGTGCCTTCCCCGGCTGATCTGTCACACAGGGGATGTGTTCAGTAGTTGAAGGTCATTAATTCAGGGTGGGAATTCCTGATGTCTTTGGGGAAACTGGATAAAGAGATTGCTGAAAAGCCTATATTACAACGGACAGAAGTACATAAACTGCTGACCTTGACAGTCATAAGAAAAGGAAAAAAATAAGTAGGTAAAAACAAACTCACCAGGCAAGGACATTTAAGGGAGAAATAAAGGTAGCTGGTTCTTAATGCAATGGAAGGAAGAAAAGCAAGCACAGCCACTGACCCAGGACACATTGTTTACCTGAGAAGCAGCCATGTCCTCCTGGTCCTGCTCCTGCTCTGGGTTGCTTTCTCCTGGGATGATAGGCTGAGGAGTCACGTCTGCATTTTCAGGATGTGCCTTCAAAGGCCTCAGCACAACCCCTTAACCTGCTTCCACCACACTCACAGGCAAAAGAACCTGGAAATGATGAAATGGCCATTTGCACCTGTCCTTTGTCACAGGCAAGTCAGGAACAAAGAGCTCCTACATGGAGACCACATGCTGTGAGTTTTTCCTCCTTTTCAGGTGCTCTTTCCTCCCATGGACATCCAAAAACTCCTGTGAGAACGTGCGATGCTCTCCTGAATCCCAAACCCAGCAGAGCACCCTGTAACCTGCTCTGACCAAAGCCTGCTTCTCACTCTGACTTACGCATCTGGGCATGACTTTCCCTTCCCCTTCTGTTTCCCTCCCTCCCCACAGATAACCTATACCTTCCTTTCTCCTAAGCGCCAAGGGTCCTTCTTATGACTCTGTCTCTTGTTCCCTGACCCGACTTCAGCTATGTGTTGTGACTTACTAAGTCAAACATTTTTTATAAAAAAAAAATAAATGCATGCTGTGCCCTGGTGACTCTGGTGGTTGCAGCATCATCCTGTACACAGAAAAGGTTGTGAGTTTGATTCCAGATCAGAGAACTTAGGCTAGATGCAGCTTAGATCCCTGGTCCAGGCACATGCAGGAGGAAGCCCATTGATGTTTCTCTTTAACATCAATGTTTCTCTCTCTCTCTCCTCCCATCAATAAGGATATCCTGGGAAGAGGGTTGGAAAAAAAAAAAGGACTCCAAAGCTTTCCTGCTAATCCCTGAACACACCTCAGGGTCCCCTAGAGAACTTCACTGAACAATTATGCTCCATCCAGAGAAGTTGTCTAACTCCGTGGAGGATGACACACCTGATGTCATTTGTCAGAACTTTTCAGGCGATTTAATGTCACTCTGAAGGGAAATAGTGCAGCTTTAAAAAGCAAGCAGACCCAGAGGGAATGAGGGCACCACTCTAAGTTTCAATTCTGCAGGTCTCCAATGCAGCCATGAAGTGGCATCTCCATGCATTTCCCTCCTGGTGCCTGCGTGGCTCCCCCAGAGCTGTTTTCTCTGTACCACTGGGCCAGAGTTATCAGACCCATTGACCCTAGACCTCTGGGTACTGTGAGGACTTTAGGGAGAAACTTCTAAAGTGACAGGCTCCCTGGCAAAAATTTTTTTTTATTATCCAGGGAAAAACAAAGAGTTACATTAATAGCATGAATGGTAAATGCAGGTTTTGATACTGAAAATTTAAAAAAATATTAGCTATGAAAACATGTCCATCAAATTACACAATGAACATATGGGCTTTCTGAGAACCACGTTTCAGGTCAATTCAGTCCTTCCTTCAATATTTTGCGGAATGGACAAGAGGGACTTCAGGGTAACAGTTCCGTGTGGCTCACAGACACTAATTCAACAAATCACATAAATGCAAGAAAAGAGATGCTGGACATTAGATGAACTCATAAAAACAGGTCTGACTGTTAAGATTATAGACATCCTGCCCTGGCTGGTGTGGCTCAGTGGATTGAGCGCCGACCTGTGAACCAAGGGGTCACTGCTTCGATTCCCAGTCAGGGCATATGGCTGGGTTGAGGGCCAGGTCCTCAGCAAATGGGAGGCAACCACACATTGACGTTTCTTTCCCTCTCTCGTTAAATAAATAAATGAATGAATAAATAAATAAATAAATTTTTAGATAAAAAGATTATAGACATCCTTACCAAGTGCCAACTGAAATAGCCTGATATTATTGACCAGGTACCAATGCATGTTCCAACATATTATAAACAGTACAAAGAATGCAGAGCTCAGATTTTAAACTGGGCACTATATATTTAAGATAAAAAGTATTGTAGAATTTTTTTAATGACTTTTATTGTCAAAGTTTAAAAAGAGTTGAGACTACCTCGTATTTAGAAAGGAAATTTAAGTGCTGGTTAAGAAATATCACTGATGCTCATTTCAGAAGTTAACGACTACCTACACAAGAGCCTATATTCAACAGACTTCGATTATCTCAATGTTTTTAAAAAATAAATTTAATGTGAGATGTAAAAGGAAAAAAGTAAATCCATTGAGAAGAAAAGATAAAGACCCAATGCTTTTAACATTCCTGAAAAGCATCATGTAGTGACAGAGGAATTCGTTTCTTCTCCCAAGTCACTTCCCCCTTCCCATCCCAGGACATGACAGGGGACCCATGGCTGGCAGGCAAGGCTCTGCCCTCTGAGTGAATAAGGGTTGCAATTGGAAGCAAATAATTGTAAAATTCACAAGCCTTATAAACTGGACAATTGTAATCCTCATTCAAACCTGTTTAACTGTAACAACTCAGCAAATGTTAAACTAAATAGATTATTTAGTTTAACAGCCACAAGCCCACAAATCACATTCATCACATCCGGGATCCCATTCTTCTCCTGCCACTCTGTATTTCTCTGTATGGATCTGTTTCTCTCTCTTCCGGGTTTCTCTGCACTCTTGTCCTTTCCTCGTTTTCCTCTCCCCACTTCCCCTGCGGTCTCTCCCTTTTTTCCTATTCCTCTACCTACACCTGTTCCCTGAAAAAACCGAAACCCCTTTCACCTTCGCTTGCTCTTCCTCCCTGATATTTCTGATTACTCTCAACTCCATACACTTCTCCGTCGCCCCCCGCCCCCCGCCCATGCCTGCGTCCTGTCTGCGGCCCCTCTTACACTCTTCCCTGTCACCCCTGCCGGCTGACTCTCAGTGCTGTTAGTCCCTCTGATCCGTCACCTCCAACCCTCTTCATGCCCCCCGTCTCGCTCCCCGAACTCCACTCCTCAGAACCACTGCCTCCGTCTGAAGCGCCTCGCCCGTTGCTGCCCCCGCGTCCGCTCACAGGGCCCTCTGCCTCTCAGCTCCCCCAGGCTCTCCGGGGCTCCTCCGTCTCCTCGGCATTTCTCGCGTCTTCCTGCTCCGGCTCCTTTCGTCCCTCCCACATCCCCGGCGCGGCCGTCTCTTAGGGCCCCTCGCGGACCTTTGCTCCCCGTCACGGGTCCGTCTCTCCCATTCCGGCTCCGGATCCCCTAGGAGCCCCGTTCCGCCGCTTTCCGGCCGCCCCTTCGACATCAGCGCTTCTACAAATCCCCTCCTGCGTGGGGAAGGTCACCTGCTGTAGGGACACCGTGTTCTCCCCTCCTGAGTCCCACCCCATGGAAACTGTGCTCTCCTTGGATTCCAGTCTATTGTTAAATTGGGGGCGAGGGGTCTTCAGATCCCCAAGGCCCTGGTTAAATCGGGCTCGGGGGACCGAAAGTGGCAGGAGTGGGGGGGGGGGCGCAAGGGTTTGACTGCATCTCCCGAGACTTTAAAGGGCGTGGGGCGGGAGTGCTGCCCAGGGAAGGGCTTTCAGCAGGAAATCCTGACGGCAGGCGCCGTCCCTCCACCTGAAGGCAGAGAGACCGCGGGCCCGAAGGCCCCAAGCTTCCCAGAAACCACCGCGAAGCGTCTCACAGGGACGCCGGACTCACTGCTGGAGGAGGCTCGGGAGCGGGGATTTCAGCGTGTGTAGTGCCCGTCAGGCTTCACGTGCGTAGGAAGGACGAGTGAGAAAAATCGAATTTCAATCCGTAAAACCGAAACTTGGAAGGACCATGAGAACAATTCTATTGCAAGCCGCTATCGCGTCAGAAAGAAACTGCGCGTGCTCCCTAGGTCAGCAGATGGGCGGAGTCAGAGTTGGAGCTCAGCGCCGCTGCAGTCAGACTGACACCCGAGCGGCGCGGTAGCTGGGAGGCGGGGTTGGGGAGGTTCGAAAAGGGCTAGTCGCGTGCAGAGATTCGAAAAGGGAAGGGCGGTCACAGTGCCATGGCCGGGGCTCTCCGTTCCAGCTAGCTCTCCTTGGTTATAGCCTTCCTTCTTCAGTGCTTTTCTATACCCACCCAGGTATTCCTAGCATTTGTAACATTCGTTTTCAAAATTCGTACTTTGGTGACCCTCCAACGATTACATTTCCCATATGATATTTGCCACCCTTTCTGACTCAGTCATTCCCCTGGACTGTCACCTTCCTGAGTCTATAAAACGGCCCTGGGAGGGGAAAGGGAAGGTTCTAGGGGCAGCCTCTGAGCATAGTGCTGGGGACAGGAGGCTGAGCCTGAGAAATGGGCAGGCATGTGCAGTGACAATTAGGAAGTGAATGAGTACCTTGTATGGACGTGTTGGGAAGGAGCCTCCACTCCTCCACTTCCAGAAGCTTTGCTTTCAAAGTAATTTTCACGTTTAATAATGCTGCTATAGTCCTGGCTGGTGTGCCTTAGAGGCTTGAGTGCGGGCCTGTGACCCAAAGGGTCGCCAGTAGGAGTCCCAATCAGGGCACTTGCTTGGGTTGCAGGCCTGGCCCCCAGCAGGGGGCGCGCGAGATGCCACCACACATCGATGCTTCCCTCTTTTTCTCCCTCCCCGTCTCTAAATGCAAAGATAAATGAATAAAAATCCTTTTTTTTAAAATGCTGCTCTTGAATCTGGAGAACTTGGCATTCATTCTGCCCGGCATCACCAGCACCAAGAAATAGAGACAGAGATTGAATCTTTATGGGAGTTTTATGCAGATGGTGGGTTACATACACTAACAGACTATGTTACATTTTAAGCGAGCCTTTTTTATAAGGAGTAAAAAAGTGTAGGTAAGGGTTTGAAATTGGGGGTGGGTGGAAATGTAGATAAAGGTTTGAGATTATTGCAAAAAGTTAATGAGATAGAAGGTATAGTCCAGCAATCTCTCTACCATCCTTTCATATGTTGACAGGTGGCTCTTTTTATTTTTTAACAAATATTGTTTATTTATTTTTAAAGATTGGGGCAGGGAGGGTGTCGCGTTACCCGTTCCACAACAAATTGAAGAGGCAGGAGACTGAATGTGATGAGCAGTAGGGGACTTAGTGGACGTGACTGACTAAACCCTGAGCCGAGAGAAAGCATCTTATTTATTAGCAGGCTTAAACAATACAAAGAATGCAAGCTGATTTGAGAACCACCTGACCTGATATTTATCAAGACTGCAGAGACGTACATCCCTTACATTAATCTAGTTACTAAGCCAGTTCTTAAGAACCCTCAAGGAAGTACCATACATAGATAACATTCATTGTCTCTTGGTGGCGTTCCACCTCCCTCGCTGGCCAGATTGCTGGTCAGGCGAGGATATGCAGACAATAAACTCCTCCATGCAGGCAACTCCCTTGGCTAGATGCATCCATCTTCCACAAGAGGGAGAATGGGAAAGAGAGAAACATCAAAGTGTGGTTGCCTCACACCAGCCCCCAACTGGGGACCTGGCCCACAACCCAGGCATGTGCCCTGTCTGGGAATCAAACTGGCCATCTTTGCTTCCCAGGTTGACATTCAAACCACAGAGCCACACCAGCCAGGGGAGTAGTTGAAGGTCTTCAATTAAAGGCAGAATTCTTCACCTTGGACAGCGTAGATAAAGATAATGCAGAGAAGGCTCTGGGACAAAGGAGAAATGTATATAAACTGCTGATGCTGACAATCATAACAAGAAAAGGAATAAGTCCAGCAGAACAATCTCGCTGGACAAGATCATCAGAAGTAGGGAAGTAAAGGTTGCAAGTTCTAAATCCACTCATGTTAGGAGGAAAAGTAGTCATAGCCTTTGACCCAGGACACAATGTTTCCCTGAGGCGCAGCCATGTCATCCTAGTCCTGCTCCTGCTCTGGGTGGTTTTCTCAGGCAATAACATGCTCAGTAGTCTAGTCGGCATTTTGAGGATGCATCTTCAAAGGCCTCAGCACAGCCCTTTTCTCTAATCCCTTCACCGTCACCAGCGGAAGGATGTGGAAATGCTGGAAGTGCCCCTCTCTCCTCTCTTTTGTCACAGAGTCAGGAGCAATAAGCTCCTACGTGGAGACCAAACTGTGACTTTTTTCTTTCTGCCTTCATGTTGATGGGGGACCTCAAGAGTTGGGATATTTAAGTTTTAGGTAATAGTTAATAAGCTTAATAGTAAAGCATTTTTAAAAAGTATTGTTTCAGGAACTGAAGTTGTGACCCACCCTGACTCCAGGAGAGCAGGAGCAATTCCACTTTTGTGTCCCAAGAAATCAAGATGATATCTGAGCCGCCTGTGCTCAGATCACGAAGAAGGTTTATTCTAGCAGGATTGCTTTACCAGACCATCCTCTAGAAGAGGCAGACTGGACTCTGTATGCAGATGGAAGCAGTTACATGGACAAAGGAAACAGAAAGGCTGGTTTTGCAGTAGTGAGTGTTGAAGGAGTAGTGGAGGCCAGCGCCTTGCTGCAGGAAACCTCTGCTCAGAAAGCTGAACTGATTGCATTGCGGAGGGCACTGAAAGTGTCACAGCAAAAGAGAGCGAATGGGTATGCCTACTCGTGGTACGTTTTCCTGATTGGGCATGCGCATGGTTTCATCTGGAAGGGAAGAAGACTATTAACGTCCAATAAAATGGAGATCAAGTATGCAGGTAAAATTAAAAATTTGTAGAATCTGTTCAGGTACCTTTAGAGGTGGCAGTCATGCACTGCCTGGGGCATCAGAAAGAGGACACTAACGTGGCTAGAGGAAACAATCTGGCTGATGGGGCAGTGAAAGAGGCTGCTAATTGAACCCTTATGATGCCTTTGTTACCTGTTGTAGACTTGTCACAATTTGACCTTAAGGATTCACTGCAGACTAAGAGAAATCTAAGAGCTGGGCTTTTGATGAAGGTCCTGATAGTAGTTGGAGAAAGAATAAGAAAGGAGTCACACTGCTTCCTGAACAGTAGATCCAGTCAGGAAACATTTGCAGGAGGGAAGTCACTATGGAAGGGGCTCTTTAACAGCCTATATTAAACCACAGTTCACAGGTCCTGGAATTTCTAAAGCCATAGGAAAATAATTGCTAGATGGGCAGTGTGCCAGAAGAACGGCCCCAAGACAGTGCTCCATCAAAAGAAAGCCCTGACCAGTGTGGCTCAGTGGGTTGGACATCGTCTCACAAACCAAAGACTCACTAGTTTGATTCACAGTCAAGGCACATGCTTGGGTTGCAGGCCAGGTGTCCAGTTGGGGACATGTGAGAGAGAAGAGATCCATGTTTCTCTCCCTGTCTCCCTCTCTTCTCATGTCTCAATAAATAAATAAATAACAATAAATAAATAAAATCTTTTAAAAAGAAGAAAGGAAACAATACCAAGTACAGTGCCCATTCAAGAACTGGCAAATAGAATACACCCAGATACTCGGGGCCTGAGGGTTAGTCTTTGTCAGCACCTTTTCAGGATGGGTGGAAGTCTATCCTACTAGAACTGAGAAGTCCTCGGAGGTAGTAAAAGCCTTACCGAAGGAAATAATTCCTTGCTTTGGCCTACCCAGCAGCATCCAGGGTGATAATGGACCTGCTTTTGTTTCAGAAATCACACAGAAGATTAGTAACTTCTTGGAAAGCACGTGGAGACTCCACATAGCACTGAGACCTCAGGCTCTGGAAAGGTAGAGAAGGTGAATCACTCCTTGAAGGAAAATGTAGCCAAACTGAGTCAAGAAACTCATCTCCACTGAGATCAAGTTTTACTTATTGCCCTGCTCAGGATAAGGGTGACTCCTTGAAGTGGGATTCAATTGAGTCCTTAGGAAATTGTGTACAGGCAACCATTTCAACTTATGATTGTGGTGGGAGAGACGAATACAGATCAAGAAGTGAAGTTAAAGAAAATGTACAACATTTTAGTCAGACCCTGAATGTAATTAATGACTTTGTTTGTGTTAGAGACTCTCCCCTATAGGTTTGCTACATACCTTTGTGCCTGGAGAGAAGGCACTACTCAAGAGTTGTTTGACAGCATCTCCAGAAGGCCAACCAGAAGAAGAGTCAACTGAACCTTTGGATGTAGTCCTCACCAGCCCCCACCATGGTGAAGTTGCCAGAAATAAAACCTTGGATTCATCACACCAGAGTATGGTGTGAACAATGGACTGCTGAACCTCAAGGAGACCTGAAGGTCATCTTTCAAAAGTGATGACTTATATTCCTTTCATTACTTTTTGTTTAACATCATGTTATCGAGAACTGGTTTCTTTCAAATAAGATGATAATATTTGGATATATTTAGTAAAAATGTTTACATATCTCTGAATTTTGTTTTGCAGGGGGAGCTTACGTTGAACAAATTTTCACTACATGTCATATAGGTGTTTGTACTCCTCTGGAAAACCTTCAAAATTATACTTTGTTTCAGCATATCAATAAGAAAATCACCTACTCTGATATTTATAATTGGGGACCTGTGGTAACTAAAGTAGAGGGAAATGTTTTACTTAACAGCTGCTAATGTAGTTCAAGCTGGACAGTGTGCAACTTTTGTTAAGTGCTAAAAACTGTTTTGTGCTTTATCATAGCTTATTGCTGCATACGATATACTCCCTTATGTGGATCTGCCATTAAATGTATTCCTAAGCCCCCTACCAGATGGTCTAATGCTAGAATATGTGCCTAATAATAAAATAAGTACTTTCATATGAAACTTATCTCATAGAAATGAGATAGTTTAACAACGGAGGAATGCTAGGGGACTCGAATATTGCAAAAATTTTAGTTTCAGGTAATAGCTAATACGCTTTGCAATCAATGTATGTAAAAAGCTATTGTTTCAGGAACTGAAGGTATGACCAACCTTGACTCCAGGAGATCATAAGCAGCTCCACC